AGAGGGGTCAAGTATTTTAAGGAAAGTCAGGAAGACCTCAAAGAGAAGTTCAAGATAGAGAGGTCAGCTCAGAAAATTATGGCAACTGTTTTTGTTGAAACCAAAAGGGTAGTCTTAATAGGTTTTCTTAAAGGACATAGGACATCCACAGGGACTTACTAGGAAAATGTCTGAAGAACGTTGAGTGTGCATTGGTGAGAAAAGGCCAGGGAAGGTGCACTGACATTTTTCTCCATCTCTACAATGCACCTGCTCATTCTTCAAAAGTAGCAAGGGTGGTCCCATTAAATTTTCCCTAAGAAACCTTACCTCATCCACCCAGGAGCCATAGTCTTGCCACTTCCGACATCATTTTGCTCTAAAAACTCAAAGGATATTTCAAAGAAACATGAAATAATTCCCTTGAGGATTCCAAAACTGTTTTTTTTTTTCATGTGATATAAATTGAATACTGAATTCTTTTTAGAAAGGTAGAGAGAAGGAAATACTGCCTTCAGAAGTGGATAGGCCTAGATGGAAGATAGCTTGAGAAACAATAGCTCCATATGTTGTTTTGTTTAACAGAGGTTCCTCTGAATTTGTAGCAATGCTTTCCAACTAACCTTTACCTTATCTGTCTCCCAATTCTCTACCATAATCTCAATGAGGGCATTCTAAAACTAAACCAAACCCACTGCCGTCAAACTGATTCTCAGAATGACTCAGAATGACCTTATAGGGCAAAACAGAACTGCTCCTTAAGATTTCCTAGTGTATGAAACTTTACAGAAACAGACAAACTCATTTTTCTCCCAAGAAGGAGCTAATGGGTTTGAATTTCCCCCTTTGAGGTTAGCAACCCAATGCATGACCTGATAGACCACCAAACTCCTGCCATGAGAGAACAGAGCAGTAGTGTTTACGTATGCATCTTCAGCACCTTCAGCATGAAAGTAATTGCTCACTCTCATGCTGGGCCACTGAGTCGATTATGACTTATAGTGACCCCATAGGACCGCGTAGAATTACCCTCTGGATTTCAGAGACTGTAAATCTTTACATGAGTAGAAAGCCTCATCTTTCTCTTTCGGAGCAGCTGGGCATTTCAAACTGCTTACCCTGCAGTTGCAGACCACTAACCACTAACTACCTGGGCTTCCGTGGTCAGGGTTACACAGCAAAAACTAAAAGCCAAACCCATTTCCCTTAAGTCAATTCAGGCTTATAAGAGCTCTGGTGGTGTAATGAGTTAGGCATCAGGCTGCCAGTTTGAACTTAACAGTCAATTCTCAGGAGGAAGAGGGGCTTTCTGCACCCATAAAGCTTTACTAAATCTGGAAGGGCAGTTTACCCTGTCCTCAGGATCTCCTGAGTGAGAATTGACTCAATGGC